GTTTTGGGTGAGCGAGCAATTTTAATTCAATTTGATATTTCTCTCTCAAAGTGAAGCGAGACCTTGAACATGGCAGGCAAATACATAAATAAGAAGGGATCAGAGGAGGAGAGCCCTGTTGATGGGGAGGGAGGGACTTGAGGTACGGGCCCTCCTCACCATCCATCACTCTGGCACTCCAATGATTGTCAAATAAGTAGCCCTGTCCAAACCCATCTTTTATCATTACGTTTGAATGAATCTATCTAGGGATCGCATCACACAGCACATGGGAGGACGCTGGCTCATATACATGCCAGAGAGAATATGGAAATGGCATAGCTGGGAGTGGCTCGACTGGGGAGAAGGATCCACATTCTGGCTGTAGAAGGGAGGACCACTGGTAGATAAAAGATCAACCAGGGAAATGAAAAGGAACAAAACAATTAGAGCACCAAAATGCAGCCTGGTTTGACTAAATATATATTTAAAAGAATAAAAAAATAAACCATGTATTATTATAACACTTCATTTCATGTTTTACAAACTATCGTAAGTAGCAACTATATTGAAACAAGTATCAAGGGAAGACCATGCTGTCAGATTGCTTTATGCCTATTCTACCATCAGAGGGAATTTTGATTTGTTTTATTATCCAAATTCTAAAATTATCAGCTGCAAACAATCCTTCTGTAAATAATGCCCTTTTACCTGAAAATGTGGTGCAATGCTTTTGTAATGCTCTCAGTGATGTCCTAGTGGTACTGGACTGAGACAAACTTTTGGACAGAAGGGTTATGCGTTTGTTATAAAGCAGTATTTTCATAATATGTCTTATTTAACCCTTTATTATTCACTCCTTGAAGAAAGCAATGTATTTTTTTCTTTTTTCTTTTTGTTTTTAAGGTTTTTTTAACCCCTATCTTTTTTTATTATTAAATGCCTTTTGTCTAAAACCAAGTGAGAGAGGCTCCAAAGAGGTATAGTTCAGTTTCAAGCAAGCTTAAAGTTGATCCTGTACATTGACTCAAAAGGTGATCTCCCAAGAGGTTGAGGAGACCATTAAAGGGTTGAATTGTTTTTTTTGTGTTTAAACATCTACCAACACAAAAACAACATGACTGCATAAGTAGCGCATGATCTGTTGTGAATGGTGCTATAGCTAAACGCGGGCAATGGATCTGGTAAAGAGCTATGTATATATTGAACATGAATTTACACAGCACTGCCTTTTTAACATGCTTCGAAGCCCTTGGCTGCAAAGCTGATGTGAGATTTGAAACGTAAATAATTCAGCTAAGGTAGGTGAGAACTCCTGGCATAGGATTAAGGAAGTAGAGCCGGCAAAGCTCCTCTGAATCCATTTGGAAATTGTCACGGGGTCTTCACAGAAGCAAAACAAACCCACCTTAATCTCTACTAATCGTACTTAAGTGTGAATGTTTTATGTGGAAATGCCTAGTTACATTTTACAAGCTTTAGCCTCGTTCTTGGAGTTACACCACTGGAATTCTAAAACCCTTTTTGGCCACAACTCTGACAAAATGTGATGTATAGACTTTAGGGCAGTGGGTGGAGAGTAGATGTTTGTGACTGTAGAGTAGATAATGTATTCATGCAGCAAACTTAAAGATGTGCCTGAAGATAAAGCAGTCATAAACAGAGGGGGGAAACACGACGACAACACTAGTGATTGGCTGTGATTAACATCAGCCTCAGAACTTGTGCCTAAGAAATTCAAATTACAATTTTTATGTAGGCAATGCCAGGGACCAACCTAATATTATTATTATTCGAGACGGAGCATAACCCAACGGCAAGATGATTACATTTGACTTGCAATGATCTCCCGTGCATGAGAAAACAACAGCTTGGAGAAACTAATAGACTTATTCCCTAAAGTAGCTTTGCCGCTCTTGGCTTGCTTTAAATGCGTTTCATCACGACACGGGTTTTGATTTTGTCTGCAAAGAGATGCGTTTACTCTTTTACGTAACTTTTCAAGCTAGTGTTTATAGCTACTTTCAGGTAGCTTTACAAAACTTTTTCAGTTCAGTTCTACCCACTACAAAGTATTGTCAAATCACAGTTACAATCAAATGTTTTTCTATTTTAACTATTTTTACATACTTAACTGCACATTAACTGGAAACACGTAACAATAATAGACAATCAATTCTGAAATATTATGTCGGACAAATTGTTTAATCAGGTGGCTCTTATTTTAGATTAACAACAACAACAACTTATTCTTGTATAGCCCCAAATCACAACAGCAGACTTCTCAGAGGACTTCACAAAACCATTGAAATCACCAACACAGATCAGAGCATCAACAGTTAAAGACATCAAAAATACACATATGAATTGGGGTATCGAACAAAAAAGAAACTTTAATATTCACAATTAAAGTAATACATTGTCTTGTAATTTTATCGTAAATACAAATACTGTGTGATTCTTAAGCCGTACAAAGGCCGAGGAGCAGGCAATCCGAAGGGTGGTATAAACTCCCCCCCCGACCCCCCTTTATCCTCCACGTTTACATACCTGCCATAACTGTGAGCTGGTCGTGCATTGTTGCGGCTATAACATACTCACTCACATCCTGTCACTGTGTTGCTGTGTTACTACCTCATATAGCCCTGTGCTGTTTACATCCTGACAACTTCTGCACTTTCCACTGCACGGGCGGCACGGTGGCTGAGTGGATAGCACTCTCGCCTCTCAGCAAGAAGGTCCTGGGTTCAAATCCCGGTCGGACCAGGGCCTCTCTGAGTGGAGTTTGCATGTTCTCCCCGTCTCTGCGTAGGTTTCCTTCGGGTACTCCGGTTTCCCCTACCACTAAAAAATATGTCCAATAGTTCTGGCATGCGCCTCCTGTACTGGCGACCCCGCTCCCATCTCTGTGTGGAGTGAGAGACAAATGCCCAAAAATTAACAATTGTAAAACCGCTTTGAGACTCAGATCTGCAGTGAAAAGGCGGTATATAAATAAAGATTACTTACTTACTTCTACTCTCTAATACGATGACGCTCAAAATGTGACTTCCTAGTTTTTGTGACAATAACAATAAATGACTGCATCTTGAATCTACTTAGAGTTGTTTTTGTTCAGAGTTTCCTTTTTAAGGCAGGCTGCATACTGACCCACTTACAAATAATGTGATGCGCAATTTGCTTCTTCCATTAGTTTTCTAAGTAGATGGAATTATCCAATACATCAAGGCAAAGGAGTTGTAATCAAAAGCTGTTTGTAATTGATTTGATTAATTGTTTCAACCCTAAATGAATTAGGTCATGGTTTTACCAAATGTACATACAGGAAGTACTTATACCAACTGATTAAAAAACAACCGTATCAAGCAAACCGACCTCATCTTCTACAACACTTCCATTCGCACATACAGTGATTCTCTGCACTGATAGATCTAACTTATACACCTGCAGCCCACTTCTGAAAAAAAAAAAAAAATTAATTAATAACAGATCCCAGAAACCTCACTAGAGAGTAAATGCCTACAAAAAGATTTGAGGGGGAAAAACTCCTTATTGTGGGGAACCCTTGGCACTTTGCAAGGTTTATTGAGGAGTAAATCCATTGTCTGGTGTCACCTAATTGGATCAGCTGGTGTGTGCGAGGAGATGAGGGGAGTAGCTGGCTCTGAGAAACATGGCGGATGCAGGAATTGCTTGAAAACAGGTTATGCCTCTAACAATTTGGCTGAGAACAGAGACAAATACATGGTGTTAAAGGTGCAGGGGGCCATGGTCCAAAACATGATAATACTGATTCTTGGTTTCTTTGCAAATGCTCTTTCATAAATTAAAACAAGGAAATACTGTGAACACAGTTACAAAGTAGTGGGGAAAAATACCTTCAACTAAAATGGCTTTTACAGACTTTATTCAATTTTTGTATAGAGTTATTGTTATTTTTGTATTGTGTGCTCCTCATACCTACTGTTCTGCAACTGATGATGCAACACTGACACTAACCCTAACTCTGCGTTCATGGACCAGTGTGGACAAAATTGACTTAAAAAAATAAAATAATGTTGCTTGTATGGCTTGTTTGCTGTTGCTGCGTTATGTGATTTCAAAATCTATTACTAAAAGAGTAGTTGAAAGCCATCAAAACAGCAGAACACTTTTTAAAAACCACAAACAGTACATAATGAACTTTTAAATGTAAAGGGGTGCCTCATCGAGGTAGCACGGACGTAGTAGTTGAGTAGTGCTTGAGTGGCACAGCATTATAGCATGCAGTCTTTCTAAAACGGTTTCAAAAGTTCGTAATTGAAAAGACAAAGCAACAATCTCGGGCGAAGCAGCTTAATTGGCCCTTACCCTCTCTCACTCATACAACACAAAACACACACACATGGAAAGACACAGTCCAAACACTCTCTGACCCTACACCTCTCCCCCATAACTTGGTCTGTGCTGTGTTAGTTATTGCTTTTGAGTTGAATTTTATTTAATATTGCGTAAGTTTTATCTTCTTTTCCAGGGCTTGGATGTCAAAAGTTAGTTGTCATAACCTCTATCACTACTTTTCCACAGAATGCTTCCATAGGCATCAGTAACATCCGCTGAAATATGCTAAAACGCCAGGAGAAAAGACGTAGCCCCATTTCCAATCAAGCATCTGCCTCCCCTCCGCCGCAACTCCGTTTAACCTTGTACAGTAATGAGATCTGACTTGCTTAAATGTTAGCATTCTTAAATCATCAGGAAGTGCCTCCGAGGAGCTGATAATCACTGTGCCAAATTGCCGCACTTGCTAATTTCATTTCTCCCTTTGCATTTGCTCGCGGTTAGTGTCGATTATTCAAAAAGCCAGGCATTTAATATCGCCAGGTCCTAGGGGTGTTGCATTAAAACGTAATAACTTGCAACATAAATGAAAACAAAAACCATTACTTTCTTCCGCCCTTTACCCAAATCTCTCTTCCTACTCCGTTTATTCCTATGCTGTTCTCTGCTCGCTGCCTCCTCTGCTTGGTGGGAGTTCGAATCTAATTCTCAGCCCATCTGGCAGGCGTAATGAAGGCGGGACGGCGCTGGTGGTGCCCTGCTGCCATGGCTCGGCGGAGCAGGAGACTGGCTGGCAGATTGGGCCTGGATGAGTGGAGGGGAGTCGCCGGGCCCTGCTGAGTGGAGTGAGCCAGCCCAGTTAATCTCCCATGTGCCCCGGTGTGATTGGGGCCAAGGCCAAGCACATGGTGCGGGCATGGTGTGTGGATCTGGAGTGCAGCGGGGACGGTTCTCGGGCGGGAGGCTGCAGTCGAGGGAGAAACGGCCAATTGCATTTTATAGGCAGTTACTGTAGCTATACAAAGCAGTTTTTACTTTAAGTGTATGATGTTCTTCTTTTTATGGGCTGCCCACAGAAATGTCAAGGGGAGGTCACTGCTACAGGAGCAATACATAAGACATAGTCTAAAGTTAGACAAAAGAAGGAAACATAAGGAAAAATTAATCATAAAGTGACTTATTTTCAGAGTAAAATATTGAACAAACACATGACTTTGCGTCACACTTTTACTTTATCCAAGACCTCTGCCTCAGCACCAAACCTTTTTGTATTCAATGTCCTCTCATCAATTCATTCATAGCTACTGCCACAAATTACCTGCAAATCAAGGCTTTCCATATTTATTTGATTGTAAAAATATTACATATATACATGTACTACCACTATTGCGACAATAGCAATGTTATTGCTATTGCGAGATGCAGAGTCGGGGTCACGGCCGGGGCAGGGGAGAATGGTGCCTTTATTCTTGTGTGATGTGGACTGTGAAGAACTTTGTGTAACCCCGTGTAGGAAAAGCGCTCTACAAATCTCAAGAGTGATTGATTGATTCATGAAGAATGGTGCATAATTGAGGTAATGAGGTAAAAAATGCAATACATTTCTGTGGTCTATGGCAACCATGGGGTCAATCCCGGACCCTTGATCAGCCAATGCAGGATGAACCAAAACAATCATCATAGTAGTGCACTTGCTGTGAAGGGGGGGATTGGATAAAAATAAACATAGTAGTTGTAGCCCAATAAATTATCTCTTCAAGCACAGATACGGTTGGACTAGACCTGGGACATAAGTGCAGGGATGCTGGGAGTTTATTTCAACCAAAAAGTCACAAACAGCCCAACAGGTGCTGCCTCTGAGGAAACAAAGGCAAACACCATGTTAGCACCATCTGGCACCAACACAAGTGCATATCGAGGGTTTGCTCTACATACGGTCAGTCTGACTTCATGTTCTGACAACTGCCACACGCATAAGGAAACAGCACGCATATATTATTAAAGCCACTGCTGTGAAAGAAGATTATATGGTCTGAAAAACACAAGCTAAACCAACGCAAGAATAATAACTGATGGATATTTATATAAGATGCTTTCCTTTCCAACGGGATACTTCCAAATGGTTTCAGCGACACTCCGTCGAGATCCAGTTTGCCTGGTGTAATTATGACTAAGCTTTCTCTAAACACAAACTCAATCCGTGCGGTCTGCCCTCCGTGTGTGAAAGCACGTAGGGGGGAAATGGGCACAGCAGTCCAACCCAAGAGAGACCAGTCATTATCTTATTTGCGATCACTTTTGTATGTGCTATAAATCTATGACTTTAGATCCAACTGACTGAAAGTGCATATATACTAAATAGTAAGTGCGATATCAATTCATCTAATCTCAACTAAGCTCCATTAATAACATTAAGAGATCTTTTATGCGTCCCACACTGGGGGAGTTTCAGAATACATGAAAAACACAAAAAAAAGTCCTGGCACTTTCACATGTGGAGGTTTATGTGAATGACACCTGAAGTAGCAGGATTTTCTTGGGCCGATAATTTCACGGGACAGTACCTAGTAAATTGCAGGGATCCTGTCTTTCACTTCAATTACCATGGCAACCAGGGAAGGGAGACGTTATTTCTTTCAGCCCCTCAGAAGCCTCAGAAGATGACTTCCCTTGCTGTACACAAGTTGCTTAAACTCTGCTAAGACTACATAGCATTTTTTTTTTTGACTGCATGAAGTGTTTTAGCACCAATGGATCGTTTTGTTTAGTGTCAAAACAGACTGCATCACTATTACCGCCATAAGACCTTGTATAATATGTTATGAATGGGGCTTTCATATCAAGTCGGTGCGTTAAAACATGGATCAGATTTTAGTAAATCATGATGTGTCCAGTTATAAGTTGTCTATATCTACTTTCAGTCGTGTTGTGTCCAAAAATGTCTGAATAAAGCGGACATGTGTACACACCTTGTATTTTCACCTCCATTACCTCCAGAGCTAATGATTTAGAAAACATTCCTGTTTCCAAGTGTGTTTATGTGAATAGCACAGAGCGAGAGGGCAGGGCAAAATGCTCAGGAAATAAAAAAATAATGTATTCATTTGTGAAGAGGGCTACTATAATAAATAACAATACTAGAAACATATATCATACTTATCTTTTGGACACTCAAATACGCTTTACAGTAAACAAACAAAACAAAAAAGCTAAAAATAAACAGTGTATGCTGTTTTGAACAGGTGGGTCAGCTATATACAGTTATGCACTGTTTATTCTCCTTACGCAGGAGGTTTATGTGAATGGGGCTCCATATTTATGTGTTATGGGAGTCCATGGAGACAGCATAAACCTATATTAGTTTTTTTCAACAGATACTAGTTTTTTCTAATTCACATGTAAGAGAAACAGCAATATATAAGGGCTCAATGGAGGTGACATCAAAGATCCCCCTTCCACTGCAGATCAAGTTGCAATGTACAAATATGTTTTTCCTTTGCACAAAAATTCCTGCGCAAGACTGGCAAGACCTCCGCGTGTCACAGATTTCGCACAAAATGTATAAACAAAGAAATTAAAAACTTTGGGCCGTGATGAGAGGAGTCAGGGGAGCACGATGGCCCCGCATATAAGAGAATACAAATTACACAAGCATGCATGAATCACTATAGCAGCATACCCGCGCGGCCCAAATTATTTTTCATTAACCGCATATAAAAAAATGTACGTGCTTGCCCTCTGGGAATTCAAGTTTTAAAAGAATATGCACTTGCTGTTTTTTGCTGTATGAACTGAAGTCTGCATCCTCCGTGACCGCAGCATTCTGACCCGGGGCAGCTGCGGCCGCTCTGGACAGAGGTTCCCACCAGCTGTGAGCCGCTAACAACAACAAGACCATACACGCACAGAACTATTCTCTGCATGTTGTGTGCGTGTCTTTGCGTAACCTGAGCAGGAATAAATACACTGCTGAAGCTGGACTATGGAGCCTCAGGAAGTGTCCGTGTCTCCTCCTGAATTGCAGCTAAATTAAAGCTGGTGTATGTAATTTTCCCTTTCATTAACAGCTCATATTGGTTGTGCCGAAAAGTTAAAGGTTGTGAGCAAATCAAACAGATTAAAGTACATTTGGTATGAATGACAATGTATCATTACGTGTGACAATCTCATTTAACTTCAATTGGAGTGGATTTGAAATAGATTGTAAAAAATGCGATTAATCGTGAGTTACCTCAGCATTACTATGCGATTAATCACCTAAAAATTTTTTTATCATTTGACAGCCCTACTATAAAAGGGTTAGGGTTAATTTTGCGTGTTTACTAAACAACTTTATTATGGCTGTGAAAAGTTAATTTAGAATGTTATTTCCCCTTTAAGAAAAATGTCCTGACTTCAAGTGCATATCGTCTTCAAGCGCATATGAGCTTTGTGTTCCTTCCAACGTAAAACAACATAGTCTTGCACACTGGCATAGCAGGAGACGGGGCCCGACACCAACAGTGGGTTTGTCTAAACTGTGCCACAAGCCTCACGAGAACACTGTCATTAACAGTTACTCTTCTCATAAACACAACAGTATCAGCTGGAGGTGTAATTGCCTGCGCTTGTGAGTAATCCTATCCTATCCTATACCTGCTGTTACTGTCAGACAGCTTTTCCACCGAGAGATGTGGAATCGTCGCATGTGTTCAAGTTGGGAGAGAGCTGATGTTGCTTGTGTGCTGTCAAATACAAAAAAAACTAGAATGAGGCATGGGAGAAAAAAGCAAAAAATAAATAAAAAATAGAATACATGGCAGAAATCAAATGCATGTCTGCTTCTCCCTGAAATCCCAGGAGCAAAGCTTAGGGGCTGCGACAGAGGCAAACACTGTTCTTTTGTCGAGTGATTAGAGGGAAAGTGGCAGAACGTGACCTACTTAGAGCAACTTTTTGTGCAGGCTGGAAAAGGTAGGAGGAGGTACAGGTAGTAGAAAGCGATCGGGGGTTGAACTTTGATAGATTCGTGGAAACATTAAAAAACAGCCCTGATAATTGCCAGAGGTACTGTGATAGGCACAATGATGTCTCTTTAGGTAGAGGCTCAAAAAGATTTCAATAGGGTACAAGTGTGAAGCAGAGAAGCCAAGTTGGAATTTCATGAGCATCTTCACTTTCCTGTGTTGGTGGAACTTCAGAAAATGAATTAAATATGACTTAACACCTAATAATTGCCACAATTTGAGGTTTTTGTGCCTTCAAGATTATCTTTTAGCGTGTGATGGGAGGTGTTGATTAATTAGAAATCACTCAAAAATACACATTCATCTGCTATCTTCTTCATCAGACATATTTTTTTGCTGTTAAAATGGTCTTCTCTTTGTTTGGGGAGCTGTGGGTTTTGAGCTGCTGAATGATGAGAAAGGGTTGTGACGAGCTCTGTCTGTTAATTCTTTTTGTTTCACCTTTCTGTGTGGAAATTGGCCCCAGGTTACAAGATTTAAGATTGCCTTAGGGCAGCTATGGCTACAGCAGTGATTGACCACCCTATGTATGTTATGTGAAGCGTCTTTTAATGTCAAGAAAAGCAGTATGCATTATTATTAACAGACTAGTGGTAGAGCCTTGAATCTGCAAAAGTAGTAGAGCTGCAGATGCTAAATGCTGCATACAGAAGCAATCAACATTTTCACATTTAAACAACCAAACACTTCCTTCAGCAATCATCCATAAGAAATAGGTTCACAATTCCTATTTGTGTATATATCTTTTATTTTGAAAAAACATGGTTAAAGTAGCAATATGTAATATTTGCATGTCAAGTCATCAGTAAATGGCCCCAATATTTCAAAAGGCATTATTAAATCATGCGCTTCTCAAATACATCTTTAACTGATAACAGTAGTTCAGCCGAGATATTTGAATATCAAAATTAGTTTTACGACCCGCAAAAGTTGTTATTGTTTTCATTTCGATGTCCCACCCTCCGCTGTTTTGCCAATGAGGAAGTCCG